CCAGTCACAGGCTGGGCACGGCACCCTGGCTCTTCTGCCCTGCCGTGAGAAACTGGGGTGCTCTACAGAGAGCACAGGCTGGGGTTGTTCTTGCAGATGAAAGGAGCTGAGCGAAGCCAGAGCAGCACGGCTCTCCCAGGGCTGCATCCTGTCCTCCACCCTCAGCCTGCTGACCAGTAAACCCTCCTCTGCCCACAGACCCACCCTACCGAGGCAATGCGTGAAAAGAGAGAATGGCTCCTCTGTGGAGAGATCTCTGCCCACCCCCTGCTGCTTCCTGTGGGCACAGTATTTCCAAGCTTTTCTTTTCTTTCTTAACATTAAAACAAATTCAGTAACAGACCCTGCTTGTGTCTCCTAAATGTTTGAAACCAACTTATTTGCTCATAATTGCAGGAGGAAAAAACACCCAGGGGTGACCTGGATGTTTTGAATTTTCCAAAGAGAGAGGTCTTGGAAGGCGTTGATGGGGCGGGGCAAGGGCGGGGGTCCTCAGGTGTTCAAAATGAACTGAGATGCTGTGGGTGCGTGTTTGCCCCTAGACTCGTGTACAGATGGAAGAGAAATGACTGCTTGGCATCTGGCAATGAACTAGGTCTGTGGCTTCACTACCTCCAACAAAATACCAGGGCAAAGCCCTGGTCCCCCACTTCTGCAGAAGGTATGTTGTTCTAACCAGATGGGCCACCCCAAAGATTTTGTTTTTTCAAAAACAGGAAAAGTATTGGTCTTTAGGGGCCAGGTGTCCCAAGGCCATCTGTGGCCTCTAGTATACAGAAGGAAAACCCCAGGTCTATCTCAGTCTCTTCTGCTGCCTGCCTCTCCTTCTCGGAATCATAAGGAAGATTCCCAGGTGGACATGAGGGACAGGACCAGTGCCTTCCCATGAGCATGGGTTCTCCTGGAGAGAGGACTCAGAGCTACAGAACACCAGGAGGGCCTCTCATAGTTCAGACGGGAAATTAGGTACAAGGTCAGTGACTTTCTTTCGTGTCACTAGGCGGGGTGGGAGCTGAGATGGACAAGGGCATGGAGTCTGGCCAGCACTCCCGGAGAAGTGGCTACATGCTTCATATTGACCCACACTCAAGGCACCAGGAGGCTGGAGGGAAGTTTCGGTAAAGATGGATGGGAATTGAACCCCTTGAAGTCCTGAGCTACACTTCCAGCTCCAGAAGGCTACAGAGGAGCAAATAAAAAGATAACCTTTGTCCTCGGGCTTGAAGCAGGTCTGAACACCCAGACGAAGCTGGGGTGAGGGCTCATGGCTGGGCTGAGAGGACTCTCGGCATCTGGGACCTGAACAGAACCAGGAGGCGGGCTGCTGAGGCTTCCAGAGCCTGTGTGCGTCACAGCTCCAGCAGCCGCCAGCAGGGGCAGGGGCAGCCCCATGATGGCGAGGGAGGTGTACCTTCTTCAGTCTTCTATGTGCAGCTGACATGGGGTCTCTCCCAAAGACACAGGACCCCAGAAATCCAGGCTTCTGAGTTGACTCAAGCCCAGGTCCTGACCATTACAAACACAGATCTTGGGACCCTGGGTTTCCGTTCTTCATGTTGACCCATGTCTTCAATTTCTCCATAGGTGGACCGTTGATCTCTTCTGGTGGCTGAAGCTCCCAGAACTTTCTCTTAAGATGCTAAGACCTTCTCCTGTCCTTCTGTTTCTTTTGGATACTGGAGCTGAAATCCTGCATCTTGAACCTTGAATTAGCAAGGCCTATGCTTTTCTGACTTGACGTATATTTCTCATTGGATAGAACAGCATCATTTCTGCAATGCAGATGCTTCCTCATGGGCTGTGCTGTCCTGGCAGCGCTGTGTACATGTGCATATGTGATTATACATATAACTGCATGTTTAGGTACGTACACGCACCCATGTTTGCACACATGTGTTGTGTATGTGCCCATGGCTGTGTAGTGTTCCTAATTGCCTAAAAGTTTTCATAGACACTCAGGGGAGGGAGAAAATAATCTGAGAAACAGGACCTGACACTTTTCAGTGTTTCCTTCTCAAAGAGAAGCCTATCCTCAGGAATCTTTTTTACTAGTAGTATCTCCAGGAAGTTTTATTCAGCTGCGGAGAGGGTCAAAGTGCTACTCTACAGGGACAATTGTCTTCACAGGATGGCCAGGAAATGGAAGTGATTACATGGGGGCTGTGGCCAGCTATGAAAAAGAGAAGGAGAGAGGGAGGGAAAGGGAGGAAAAGAGAGGTGTGTGTGTGTGTGTGTGTGTGTGTGTGTCTACATATCTCTGTTTGGGGGAGAATAACAGCTAGCCTAAAATCTATTTTGCCTTTCAGAAAGTCATTTCATTTAACTGGTGAATATTTGGGGTGAGTCTGTGGATTCCAGTGGGGAGGGGACTTATTCTCTACAGAGGGGTCTCAGTGTGAAATCTGGGGGTGGGAACTTCCCCAGGATTGGGGTATTATTTTGGCTCTGGACCTTCTCAAAGGTGGCATTTGCCTAAATCTCCAATCCTTCTAAACATGGGGCTATTTATCATCCTACGCATGGGATTAGGCCAGGAAGAATTCACCCTACAAGACCATGTAGAAGAGAGCCAGCCAGCAGGTAAGGAGGCACAGGTAAGTCTGACCTGGCATTAGTCAAGCAATGCAGTCAAGGGTGTGGGCATAGAGCACATGGAAGGGCACAGGGTACAGAGAAAATGACATGGAGAAAAGGGAACAGGGCATAGGGAAGGTCACAAGACACTGGACACATGGCAGAGGGCACATAGTGCAGGACAAAGGACACAGGACACAGAGCAAGGCACAGGGCACAGGATGCAGGACAGGGTGCAGGACACAGGGCACAGGACACAGGGCACAGGGAAAGGCACAGGGCACAAGACACAGGGTAAGGCTCAGGGCACAGGATACAGGACATAGGGCAGGGCAGAGGGCAAGGCACAGGGCAGAGCATAAGATACAGGGCACAGGACACAGGGAAAGGCGCAGGACACAGGGCACAGGACACAGGGCGGAGGACACAGGGCACAGAACATAGGGAAAGGCACAGGGCACAAGACACAGGGTAGGGCTCGGGGCACAGGATACAGGACACAGGGAAAGGCACAGGGAAAGGCACAGGGCAGAGCATAAGATACAGGGCACAGGACACAGGGAAAGGCACAGGACACAGGGCATAAGACACAGCGTGGGACTCAGGGCTCAGTGCACAGGGCTGGGAAAGGCTGGGGACGCAGTAGCTTTGAACCAAAGGATGCAGGGGTCCAGGGATGTAAATGACTCTAACCTGGAGCGGTCCCGCCCATGGTCTGAAATGAAAAGAGAATTCCCTGCAAGGCAATCACTTCTCTTTAACCCATACATGGTAGTTTAAGTAAACGTCCCTGAAATAATTAAGAAAGAATAAAAGGTTTTTGAAGGCCAGTTTTTCTTTGAGAGGACTATACTGTGTGTGTTTTCTAAAAAGCTTACCCCACAAAGACTCAAGCCTCACTGTTCCATTTCAGCTAAGTTCCAGCATCTGTTTCCCAGGTAACAGAAACTGTATTCTCGTTGCTCTACCAGCATCTCGCAGAAACACATCCCTGCACGCAGATGCCCGCATCATGCTTCCCAGGGCTCAATGTTCTGCAGATCTGAGCTGGAGAGGGTGGGCTTGGCCAAACCCCGTGTACCTTAAATCCAGTTTCCCGTCACTCTCTTTTTTTTCTAGAAGCGGGAAGTTTTTCTCCTATGTTCCCCTTTACCGTCATAGTTATTCCTATGCTCAAAATCCCTCAGTCAGAAAGTTGTCTTTTTTCCTTCTCTCAAAATTTTTGGTTTTAGTGGAAGGTCATGGAGGTCTTGGCAGCAGCATCCTGGGTCCTGGTTCTGTCTGGAACCAGCGAGTGTCTGGTGGAGCCACTGCTAGCAAATTGAGCCCAAGAGCTACGGAGACAGCTCTGGAGGAGCACAGCGGAGCAGTAAGCAGGGGTAGAGGCCCCCCTCATGGCCTCCCTGTTTCCTTTTTAAATGCAAAATATTTCTCTAGAGTCAAGAGCCTTGAACCACTTTAGACGGCTTGCAGGGCGGCACAAGAATGGGCCCTTTGTTACGTGGTCTTCACGAACGGTTTTTAAAATAAAATGGACCCTTTTCCCCCCCAACAACATCTCACATGTAGCCCGAAGACACACAGGCAGAATGAACTGCTCTGCTGGGAGGGTTGGGAGTTGGTACCCGGAGGAAAACACAAGGCTTTGCTGGAGGACTGATATCTGCAAGGTCAAAGCTACGGAAGAGACAGAGTAGCGCTGGTCACTGTGCCCAGCAGAAGGAAACTGAGTATTGAGGGTCTGCAGTGGCAAGCCATGGAGCTAGGGAACTTGTGGGGGTTCTGAGAAGCTGAGCTCAGAACCGCAGGTTCCTCAGCCTCTGAGAAGGATGAGGCAGAAGTCAGGACTGTTCAGCTCAGTTTACTCCTAGAGAGACGGGAGGCCATGCCAATGCAGGACCATGCGCTTGGCAGCAGGTCACGCCATGATTATGACTTGTGGGCTTTGGGCATTTTTCCTGGTCTAGGAAGTAGCTCTGTGCCGTTAGACTGGCCAATGTGGACTTTAGGAAGCCTTGATTGACCAGGGTTTAGGCAACTCTCCTTCCCATTGGTTCCTGTTGGCTACTCTTCCCACAATTCTTGGTATTTGTAGGGAATGAGGCCCCTGTGACTTGAGGTCCTGTCTGTTTCAGCTGCTATTTAAAACCACAGCTCTCAGTTCTCCAATGTCGCCAGTCTCAGACAAGTTTCTTCTGACCTTTGCTCTGTGGTCTTTGCTCTTGTGAAGTATTCTGGGGCAGCTAAATTCTACAGGTAGCCCAGTTGGGCAGGTGTCAAATGGCCACCCCCTACGGCAGGACAGAGCTTAGCAGGTGACCCACGATCTTACCAGAGGCTCGGCTGACCCGCCCCTTAGCAACCATCCACCTTGGTGCCTTGTCTCCAAGGACAGTTTGCAGGGACGGTGACCATCCTAGACCTACCTGTTCGTTGATCTGACACATGGTGAGGTTTTGGTCATCACAGGAACACGCTACACGGATATACTTGAGCCAGCTGCCAGCCCCGGCCTGATTGGCATCCACGCAGAACTTCTCGCTGCCCAAGTCTTCAGAGACCTGCTGGGGAAGAAGTGCGCTAAGGTCAGAGATGCCCCGTGTGCTATGTCAGGCTGCACTGACCTCAGAGGCAGGATGGCAGGCTGGGTGAGAACTTCAGCCAGTCCTACGCATCAGAGAGGCCCTGTCTACCCATCACACCTGGTCCAGGGAGCCACCAGGAGATTGGCGGAGAAGAGGGTGGTTCTTCCTGTTCTTACACAGCTGCTCACGGTCAGGCCGGGCAATGACGAGTCTTCTGCACTGGTAAAGTGTGCCAGCAAGCTGTCCAGGTTTGAGAAAGCAGAGCCTTCTGTGTCTGACACAAACCCTCTGCAAGGACAGTGGGGGTGTTGGGCTAGAAAAAGCACTTCTGAAGGTAAAGGTGTTACCGGGGTGTGCAGCTGCACCTGAGCCCGTGTGTGTGGTATCTAAGCGTGCATGTGCGTGTGCCTGTGTAGACACGCTCCTGTCAGATAAGCACATCACCTGAATGCCAGGAAGACATTTCATGTCCTCAAAATTGGGAAGTTTCAGTTTGATGCTGGCCAGCCAGCAAACATCATGCTTCCTCCCCAGGTCCTGCACAACAGGCAGGGCCCACACTGGCTTTGCTTTGTCGTTGCTGATGCCTTCTGAACTCTCTTCAGAGTCTTGTTTGCTGAACTGTGTTCCCCCCAACTCCACCCCAACCCCTGCCCCCACCCTGAAGGGTTGCTTGCAAGAAGACCTGGACCACAGGCTGGCAGCTGCTGACACCATAGAGTTCCACTCATACCTGCTCTGTTCAGAGCCTACGGCGAGCCCTAATTCAAAGCCTTTGAAGCAACTGGGGTGGCTAAGTGGGCACACGAAAGGCAGGATGGTTAAAAGGGAGGTTGGCGGGCAGGAGTATTCTGGGGCAGGCGTTTTCAGTTGGGAAGGGGCAAAGGTGCAGCAGGAGGGGCTCTTTCAGTGGATTTTCACCACTAGGCATGCAGTTTTCAAGATCTTTGTGCACCTATGGCCGGCACTGGAATTCCGTGCACAACAATGAAACTACACGTCCTGCTTCTGTACACCCACTCCCTTGTTCCCAAGGATTCTGACACAAGTCAGACCCTGAGCACGTGGCAGATAGCTTTGTCTCCCAGTTGACACCTGTCAGTGACCCCTGGGTTCCAGACAAAGGGCGGCAGCCTGAAGGGACCCAGTAGGGAGGGAGAGTATGGAGGAAGCCCTGCAGATTCCAGGGGTAGACTGCAGTCCTGTACAGTAACACATAGCAATGCCCCATCCCAGGGCCCCATGCGCTCCCTTGGGTGTCCAGTGGATTCTCTGGAAGCACGAGGCAGCCAGGACAGAAATGGGGCTAAGCACTGACTCCATCAGGCAGAGGGTTAAGTGGCCAAGCCATTCAACCACTTGCCCCCCATGTTCCCTCAGCCCAGAATCATCTAAGAGGCTTCAGCACTCCAGGCTGGCTGTGGATGAGGCCACAAAGCAACTATGTTCTGTGCCTGGGAAGGTGGGGATGGGGAATACCCAGAGTGCAGAGGCTGGGGTGAGCGGAGTGTACCCTTACACAGAGCCTGCCCTCCCCCCCCCCCAAGCCTGGGATCTCGACTTTCCCCTCAAATCTGCAACACTAAGGTCCATACACTGTTGGCAAAGCTGGGAGCCCGACTGCACTCCTCTCTTAGTTTAGGGAGCAGGTAAGGGGGTCAGAATGCTTCCTGAGAGGCAGGACCCTCAACTCTAGAGGCATTAGGATAGAGGTTTTCCTTTCCTCTCCTCTGGGGCTCAGGGGAGGGGTGCCTAGGGAGATCTTCCCAGGTGTCTGAACCCTATCCAGGATACCAGGAGTTCACTCAAGGCCCTGCTACTCAGGGGTTAGACGAAGCCTTCCCTGCTCCTTACAAACCCTTGGAGGTCACTGCCTGCCATGTTCCAGTTCAGGGCCAACCCAACCCAAACACTACTGGGTGACCCCCACAGCCTGCAGAGGATGGAGGCAAACTGAATAGCGGCCTTATGTTGAGACCATGAGGGCTGACGTGCCTGGTGGGGGTGGTCAGGTCTCCCATTCTCTAAGATGTGGTGGGCTCAGGTCACCAAGCCCACAGAGGGAGCACCTCAGACCCTCCTCCCAATTGATAACTCTGCAGGGAACTGCTGAGGAGGTCAGCCCACAGGTGACAGGGCCTCTACCTGACAAGGAGGCTCACCCCGCTCCTGAGACATAGGAATAGAGAAAGGCTAGCTGTCGAGAGGCCAGGGGACCCCTTTCTCCCTGCCTGAGGGGTCAGGGACTTCCTGTGGATTCCTGCCACACAGACCTCTAAGCAGATGGTGCCGAATCCCAGGTCCCGTTTCTGGCTCCCTGTTCCTCCCTCTGTGTGTATCTTGCTCATTTTTCTGTCTCTCTGTTTTTTTTTTTCCCTTATGGTGCAGGGTCTGGGGGAGCTAGTTAACGGTGATGTGAATGAGCATGTCTTCATACAAGGCTCTGTCCCCAGGACTTTGCTGGGGTTTGGTTGTTGATTTCTCAGAACTGAGATCTGCTTCCCCAAAAACAATCTTTGTTCATTAGCTCACAACCACTCCAGGCTGGCTGTGGATGAGGCCGTGTTCATTATTCTGTTAAAGTGCTGGGCAGCTCAGTGAGGTCCAGCTAATCATATGGATAAATATGCATGCATACAAGGTGTGAGCATGTGTGCACATGCTTATGGCTATACACACACAGCTATGCACCCCGTGTGTGAAAACATGCACACACACACATATGTAAGTGCATGTGTGTATACACAGAATCTTTAATGTGCACACATGTGCCTGTGTGTGTGTGTGTGTGTGTGTGTGTGCATGCACACTCAGCTGGCACATTTTTGAAAAAGACAAGGTCATTCCTATGAGAAAGTGACCTAGGTAGCTGTAGTTGGTCCTAGTCTGTAACTGCCCAGGCTTCTGTCCTTCATTAGCTCCTGACCCTCTGTATGATTGCTTTCCTGGTAGTCCCTAAAGACTTGAGAAAGTTCCCTTTCCCAGTGTGATCACCTCAGAGACCAGGGAGGGAGGAGCTACTGTCTTAGGCAGTAGAATTAGGTGGGATTCTCTAAAATCTGGAATCCACCACCCAGGCTTGGATCCTCACAGGTCCTTGGCATTGCTGCCTCTGAAGCTGGGCTTTGACGTAGTCATGGAGATGGAGCCTTAGCACCACTTCCTAGCTGAGGAGACCTCAAGTGGCCCACTGGGACTCTGACCAGCAATTGCTTGGCTCTGAGGGTTCATGGGATGCTGAGAGGAAGGCCTGGGTGTTAGGGTATCAAGTCCACAGCCACAGGCAGCTGAGCACATGTCCCTGACTGCAGTGGGAGAAGCAAGTGCCAAGGACCCGAGGCCAGAGGCAACAGCATTGGCTCAGTCTTTCCCATCTGGACTCTGCTTGCACCTACGCTCTGGCAGGAGCTGTGTGGCTCTGATAGTTCCAAGGATGTGTGAGAGCACAGGGGACAAGGGAACGAGGGCGGGCGCACGCATCAGGTTCTGTTCATACATGAGACATCAAGAGTCATATTCGAGTGTGGCGGGGTTCTCTTGGCTGGCTTTTCTGTGGCTGTGGAGCCGAACCTCTGCCCAGATTTGGAGTTGGGCCCCACCCACTTGAAAGCCTGGCTCTGGAGTTGTTGGGGTTGAGCCTGTGGACTCCCATAATTACCGGTGGAAGTGGCCCTTCTGCCCATTTGCCCCCACTTGGCCTCTCAGCCCCCGTGTTCCTGCCAGCTTCCCCAGCTCATCAATCACCCCCATCAGAAATGCTGAGTTAAAAAACGAAGAGATGGAAAAAAAAATCCTCTTACCCTTGACAATTTTTTTTGCACATCATTTGAGGTTTCCTGCACTTTTAATCTGTGGCTCTCTGCTGGGCCAGCTCTTTCCCATTTAATGGGCATGGCCAGGGGCTGGCTCCGTATGGGATGTGCACACAGGCGCGAGTGCAGAGGCGTCTGTCGTCAGCTCACCTAATGGATTCCCAGCCTGCAGGAAGGAGTGAGGCCTAGGAGTCACCTTGTTGGCCTGTGCCCTAAGGCTGCAGCGTGCTCCCCTGAAGCTCACAGTATGGTGGGTGTCTGTAGGACTGTTTCACGTGTCCCTCTAATTTCCCTCCACACCTGCATGCACACCTGGGCACACACGCTAACATGAACACATACGCACACACAGATACGTAGAGGCACACGTGTGAGCACGCACATACAATGGTTATGATTTACGACACTCACAAGGAGCCCAAACAGAAAGTCCATTCTTGTGACAGAAAGAGGAGGGCAGGCCTTCTGGAGACACCTCCATGTGGCGGACATGGAGCCTGAATGAGCTCATAAATCCTGTCCCGATGCTCATTATGGGCTTGGTGGTGACATGACCAAGTGCTAAGCAGAAACACGGCAGCAGGATGGGGTCTGCTGCTGCCAGCAGACAGGAGCCTCGCTAAGGAGATCAGGAGGTCAGGGGCCCATCTGTTCCAGCTGAGAGGGAGGGAGCTGAGGAATAGGAGGGAAAGAGAGTTTTCTGGGACTCACTCCTGAAATAAGTTGTCTGGGACTTTCTATGTCCCTCTGGCCCTGGCCTCCACTGGACAGTTGCTGGGTAGTAGTGTATGATAGATAGAGTTACAGGGTCCTGGACAGACCCCAGAGCATGGCTCAGGGTTGGGGGGCTGCCAAAAGGGAGCTGTTGTCTGACCAGGGACTCTACTAACAGGTGCTGGTGACGTCCCGTTCCACACCTGGAGAATTTGGCTCCTATGTCAGTCACAGGCAGATGCTCTTGGTTTAAAGCCACACCAAGAAATGTGTATCGTAAAAAGTCACCGAATCCCATATTTTCCAGCATTTGGGCCCCACGCAGGCCTTTGAAGATCTGAAGAAAGCCACACACCAGAAGTTACTCAGACATGCAAATGCCTTGTGAACACTCTGAGGTTCCCGGCAATCTTGCACCCAATTCTCAGACTCAGAGACTTCAGACTGTGTGCAAACATCCCAGACACATAGCTGATCTCCCCCATGTCCTCTGCCATCTTGTGAAACAGAGCCCCAGGGTACATGCCTTGTACATCCAGCCCAATGCTCACCTCTTCTTTATGCTGTCTGCCCCTGAATCTCTGTGCCTTCCAGCCCTTCTATGCTAAACTAACTTAACCTCTTCTCTTTCCTTCTTTGCTCTTTTTGGCTCAGGTTTTACCTGTCAGGGAAATGACCCTCCTGGGCCAGCATCTGTGAACTTTGCCTGAAGGA